TTTGCATTATAGCTTTTACTCACTGTTTTATTTTTCCTTGCTTCCCATCTTCTCAAGAACCATCTCCAACTTAAAATGATGTTATTCAAGAGGATTATAAACACTTAAAAGTCAAGCTTGAACCAATATAAATATTTGTTGCATAGCAAATACTTCTATGAAATATCTCCAAAACTTAGTGTCTCCCAAGATCAATCTAAGGTGACCCATTTGAGCAAGTTGACTCATTTCTAGCTTGAAAGGCAACTTATGGCACAAGATGTTAAAGTAGTAATTTCATCAGCTTTTCATATCTAGCTTCTATATGCAAAACAGTGTTAGATAAAGTTTGGCATAATTTTAACATACTGGTGGTTTAACACAAGGAGGAGGTACCCCATTAACTAAAATAGTATGAAATTTACCCAAGTTGGACTAGAACAAGGAATAATATAATCTAGTAGGAGCAAAACTAATGTTTCAAATAGTCGGCTATGCTTCCTACTATTATCCCTACTACACATTTAAAACCCCTAACAGTGCCCCCCCCCCCCCCCCCAAGAGAAACACACTTTGGGCTTTGCTTCTTAAGTAGATCTAAACATTTACTATAAATAACATAGGGAATCGATATGGGATTAACATATATGTTTGGCAAATATAGTAAGTTATCATGTAGCGATATTAAGAGATTAAACTCAACATGTGAGGTTTTTGCCAAGTTAGTGCAAAACAGAGTTTAAAAAAAATGAACAAATCAAGCTAAGTATGTTTAGTTAAATAAACACTTCAGAATTCTTTCCTATTTATCCAGCCCAAGTATAAATGTTAAATCTAGTTTAGTAACACTTAGACAAAATGGGCTGATAAAGGGAACTAGTAGTACAATCTCCTGCCATCGTGGAAATAAGAAAAGAGTCTTCATAAAAACCAAATATCTTTCAATACTTGAAATCATATTCACGACAACAAACTAGGAAGAAAGCAACTATAAATATAGATGGAGGAGAAGAATCTGCACTAAAGCTTTAGCCTGTAGTTAGACAAAAATTACCGTTCCCTTCAGCATTTGCAACACAAAGTGGATCCTCCACCACATCTTCTCCTCTAGTATTTACATGCCCATCACAATTCACTAACACTTCACCATATGGTGTTCAACCATCTTCAACTTTCCCAGAGTCTGTCTTACAGCTCCTAGTTTAGCACAATAATTGGAGCACTTCGCCATTTCTAGAGGCTTGACACAACCTCTAGAAACCTCTCTAAACACACCAATCCAAGTCATGAGAGGACATAACACTCTCAAATCCCAAAGCTTTCATCATCCCAATTACCGTTTTAAATTCCAAACTGGTGGAGGCATTAATGGATAGTGGGTTTTCACTAAATATCACCTCATCAAAACTAGCTCACTCCTTAGGCTTGCAAGTGTCTGGGAGCACAATTATGGTTCTCAAGACCTTTGGTAATCATTCAGACTTACTAGCAAGTATTTGTTGTTGCATTCTTGTCTGCATTATATGGAGGAGTTAGTGACTCACTCATCCTGGGATGAGTTGAGCATGAAGAAGCTTGTTGCCACACTGAGTAGGAACATGGACAGCTGCATACCTCAGATGGAAAGGCCAATTTGGTGTTTCACAACAAGCATGGCCTTTCCTTAGTTTCTCAGTGAGTTTCTCCAGTGGTCAAGCAAACTCTATCTTGCTCGCTCATTTCAAGCGACAAGCCCCAGACTCGAGCAATATCTTCTGAAATGGATTACGTAAGTTTCTGTTTCTCAAGAAGTTATTCTCAAGTGAACTCTTGCCACAGGCTTGGCAGCTCCATTCCGATGGATTGCCTGCAAATCTTTTAGACCCAAGCTCGTAAGATCCAGCAGCAACCAGCAAAAGAAAACGTTGGTCCAGGCAATCCACATTCCTCAGGCCTTCAATGTCTCACATGGTAGTGATATCCTCTGGCCATTCCAACGTCCATGTCCCACTCTCCACCACTTTCGACAGGCACTCGCATGGATTCAAGGCTCCACTCGCAGGGAGGAACAACCTCCTCAAAGCGATCCTCAAGGTACCACCCGAATATTCTTGATTTTAAATTTTGCTAAAGTTGGAACTTCAGGTTTCTTCTTTGTGGATTTTAACAGGGATGAAATCCTTGGATCTGGCAATTGGGATGCTCCTGGTGTTCGTAGTTCTTGTATGTCACTCTCGTGACTTTTTGTATCGCTTTTGTGGGAGGAATTGGATCCAAGTCACATTGCATCGGGCCCTGTGACGTTTCCGTACGAGTTTCGGAGACGTGCTGTGGAGCAAGCAAAACACTGTCCCTCCGGTAGGAAGCCCATATGATCCAACACATTGCAGGTGTTGAGCAGCAAAAAATTCGATCCAACCCCAAAAGAAGAAAAATGTGAATGATGAATGAGAAAAGAAACAAAACTCTGTTGCATCAAATCCTCAAAGACCTCTAAAGTACGACATTATAAAAGCTAGGTACCGTTGGGAGCCCTAGGCAAATGGGAGGTAGGGGAATGCGGGCGCAAGGCCGCGCCGGCCGCGGCAGCTCACAGGCGATCGCTCGCGAGGTGGTGGCTGGATGGCCAGCGGCGGCTACTTTCTCCGACGCTGGGCGTGGATGGGCCGATTACCAGAGTTCCGTTCTACACACGCTTGCCCCGCCCGAGCTCCCGCTCGTGTTCGCTTACAGCGACGGCCATGGCGATTGGGGAGGCGGCGGGATGCTGCACGGAGGACACGGAGCGCTCGGGCCGGGCAACAGCGCTCAAGGCGGTGATGGTCGCGTGCCGGAGACAATGCATCACGGTGAAAGCCTCGACTGGGGAGGCCGCGGAGTGCCTGGCCGGGGAGAAAGCAGTGGTCTCGCTGGGGGAGTCGAATTGCCCGGAGGCGATTTGGGAGGCGGCGGGATGCTGCATCACGGCGGAAGCCTCGACTGGGGAGTCCGCGGAGTGGCTGGTCTCGCCGGGGGAGTCGAATTGCGACACGATCACAGCCCTAGAGGCGATGGCGGGATGCTGCGTGGAGGATCTGGAGGGCCTGGGGTGCCCAGCAGCGCGAAAGCGATCGAGACAGAGGAAGATTTCGAAAGGAAGCAAAGGGGGCTCATTATCTGGCAAGCACTAGTTGAATCGTTCATGGGTCACGGCCAGGGAAGCGATGGCAGAGAAAGCAGGATTCCTGGTCTGGTGCTGGGCAGCAACTCGTCGTCTTCGTCCCCCAGCCGCCAGATCGTCCAGGCAATCGCCGGGGAGCCGCTCTCCGCGGCCTCGGGCAAGGGGACGCAGTGCGAGGCGGGCAGCAGCGGTGGCGGTGACGGCGGTCGCGGTGGCGATGACGGTGGTCGCGGTGGCGGGGGACGCGGCCCCGGTGGTCGCGGTCCCGGTGGCGATGACGGTGGTCGCGGTGGCGGGGGACGCGGCCCCGGTGGTCGCGGTCCCGGTGGCGGTGCCAGACACGAAGAAGCAAGGAAACGCAAAGCCCGACAAATGATGCGAGAACTTGCAAGTTCCTGTTTTCAGTAGGTAGTGATAGCATTTTGATGAAATTCTAATCGACAATTTGAGACGAAGTAAGCGCAGCGGGAGTAGCAGTAGTAACAGCACCAGTCGAGACAGGCATGAAGGAGAAGCTCCGGGACGTAAGCTCCATGCTCGCCTTGTCCAAGGATTTGCCCGAGTGGCTGGTGTGGCGACGAGTTTTGCTGTTGGCGACGATGCTACTACCAGGGCTTACATTTTTTTAGGGCTTGTAACATTTTTTAAGAGTTTACATTAGGAAACGATGAGACTCGCATAGCTTACACGCTGCTGGCTGAAGCTCAGAGCATTTTCTGCCACCGGAAGCTCCTGCCTGGTTTGCCAGCTCCCTGTCTTCTTGGCCGCTGGAGATCGCGACGTTGAGAAGTTGAGTACCAATCAACGAGTGTTGCCAAGCGTGGAGCCCGTTGGAGGAAAGTTTGGACTTGTTCAATCTCACCATTGTGCCCACTCGAGATGGAGTGGTGGTGAAGTCTGTAAAGACATGGCACTGGCTCAGTCCCACGGCCACCATGACTGCGAAGCAGGTGGTGAGAAAATACCCTAACAAAATTTTTTGATGGGCATATGGCTTCATGTTGATGTTGAGCAACCTTTTAGAATTTGAAGTATTTATGATTATAAGCTCCTGAATTTGAATTTATTTAAACTTAAGGATGTTTAACCCTAAGTATTTCAAATTTTTAATTGATTGAAAATGGGGGTGCATTTTTGTTCATGGGCCTTTTTCTTTTATATTTAAACTCTTATGAATCGTTTCTTAAATTGTTTAATTTAGTTGCTTATATACATCTATTAGTAGTGTAGCATTTGCAATGTCAACAAACTAATCTTTTGTTCAAAGGAGCTTGAAATGGAGAGTAGCTGCAATGTCATTTAAAGACAGTTTAACAAGATTAAAAAAGGAATTATCACTAAAGTAGATAGAACAGATAAAAGTAAGAAGCAAGATGAAAGTTTTGAGGAAACTTAACACTTTCAAAAGTGGAGATCACCTCAAAAAATTTAATATATGATTTAAGAGCTCACACTATGATGTTTTTGGCATACAACTTTCAGGCTAAGTGGAAAGCAATAGCTTGTGATATATGTTTTATTAATTTTTTAAATGAAGTTATAATTTTTGTTCTCAACTTTTCCAAAAACTAAAAATAAGCACTTCAAATCAACACTAAATTAAGCTATACATTGTTATCTATTCCAGGATCTATGCTAAGATCTTACCAACTCTTTGATTCCAACACTCCTCCCCCTCAGCGAGTAGTAAAGATCTATAATCCAAGACTATTTTGATGTCTTACATATGATATCTCTATTTCTTAGTGTTCATGAATAAAAAGTGGTTCATTTCAACATGTTTTGTGCAAGAATGGAATATGAGATTTTAATTATTGCAAGAGCAAAAGTGTTGTCATTATGAATAACAGTGAGTTCTCTGCAAATTAATATTATAAAAAAAGTAGTTTCAACCAAATAGTTTCTTAAGTAGCATATGTGATTCCATTATATTCTGCTTTACATGTTAAAAGAGCTTCTGATATTTGCTTCTTGCAAGAGTATGAAATTGCTTGTGTACTTTAGATTTCAACACTGCTTAAAGTTGTATTTAGGCATGGTGGGCAAAAGCAAGACATAGTCATTACTTGAATTTTTTAGTCTTCATGAATATTATCTCCCCATATAAAATGCAAATTTTATATCCTTTTCACTGTCTTGCACTTTAGTTTCTTGCTTTGATCCACTAATCTATAAGCCAAAAGGATCTGCCAACTTTTACTTTTCACTGTCTTTCACTTTAGTTTCTTGCTTTGATCCACTACTGTGTTATCTATAAGCTAAAAGGATTTGCCAAATACCTTTTTCCCACAACTTCTAGTGACTTTTGAGCAATGTTTAATGAACAAAATGACAATCAAAAACAATTCGTAATAAAAGTGCATCATTGATTTAAACCTTGCATAAGTTTAAACACACATAAGTGATGAAAAGTGCCTATCCTTGTCAACTCGGTTTTAATATCAGTAGCAACTCCATCATGTTCACCCTTCTCATGGCCCTGAAAAAGTTCTAAACCATGTCAATGTTGAAGTCCTTGAAGTGCTGTCTAGCCAAAAGTGATAAAGCTCAAGGCAGTGTTGAACAAATGCATTTTATTATAATTGGCATTTAACAAGTAAAAGTAATAATACTTTGTCAGTTCATCATTTTTTAGAACACATCGGTAAAATGTTTACTTGTTCATTTTCCAAACATTTTGTTTTCAAGTATGGTATAAAAACCTAGAAAAAGGGAAGTGAAAAACCTAAGGGTACAATGGGTGCGAGGAGGAAGACAACGACGACACTGCCGCAGGAGCTTGTGGAGGAGATATTGCTCAAGCTGCCCTACTCGTCGCTCATCATTGCGAGGTCCGTTTGCAAGGCGTGGAAAGCAGCGGCGGACAGCTCCAGCGTCAAGAGCAGATACAGGGACAGTGGTCACTTCTTCGCCGACGCCAACTCCATCACGGACAGCAGCGACAAGCGCATGCGATGGGCGCCGCGCGGTGATTACCCGGACGTGCTGTGCGCAGTCTCGTCAGAGGACCAGCGTTGCGTGCTGGCTCGCTCTACACAGCAGAGGAAACTCTTCCTTGGGAATCCTTTTCTCAACGTGTGGCAAGAGATTCCTTACAAGATTTTCGGCGACTGGTCCAGGGCTTGCATCCTGCGCAACAAGATTGTGGTGTGGTGCGCTGATGGCATGCTTTTCACCTGGACACAAGGAGACGAGGGTTGGTCCAACATCGAAAGTCCTGTGGCTGAAGATTCCGAATCTGACTCCGAAACTGAATTTGTGTTGAAGCCTGTGGTGAATGGCAACAAGCTGTTTTGCCTGGATTCCTTGCGCTACCCGAATCTGTTGGAGTTCGACACCACAAGTAATAGCTTCTCATATACTGAGAATGTCTTGCCCAATGGCGGGGACAATTACCTCGCCGGCGCTTGGAAGTCCAAGCTCTACGTAGGGACAGTGATTGACAGCGAGCGTAAGGTCCAGATCTTGGAGCTTGAGCGGGAACATAGCGTGGTGCTCAGGTTGGTGAGCGAGTATGTGATTGATTTCCAGGCCAATGACGGGGTCTGGTTCCTTGGTCAATCTGGGAAATACTTGAACTTTTGCGGGGAAGATTGCGACTTGACGAAGACGGAGACGACCTACTTCTCCTACGACATGGATGCCGGGACTTGGGACAAGCAAATGCACCGGGCTGCCTCCACAGCTGTGAACATAGTGCTACATTGATCGCTTGTCAAAACAATTGTACAAAGCCTTGCATTTCATGGGGGATGATCGACTATCCTATCTTTCAACTCGGTCAAACAGGTCAAATCTCGTCAAATGAGAGAGACAAGCATGGCAAAGAAAAAAGAAAAAATGTTCTCACAATTGATACATAGTTTTTGACGTTATTTCTCGCCGATCACTTGCTTTCTTTTCTTCACCGTCCCTTTCTCTCTTTGAAAGTTTATTTTGGTTGCCAAAAAGCGCCAGTCCCTCTCTACTTCCTGCGTTGGGGGTAGAGTTAAAACCCGAAAGCCAAGAAAAGGAGATCTTACTTGAATCTCCTCGCAACTTCTTCGTATCTTGGAACATGGACGACTGAAACGGAAAACCAAGCGCGAAGAATTTAGCTAGCTGACCAAAGCACAGTCCAGCTTACCATCTCCCCAAGAAGCCATTGTGAGCGGCGACGAAAGCAATTTACTCGCAGTGGACGTGATGTTTTCCAACGTCAATCCCTGGACAGCACTGATAAAGTCCTGGATAGGCTTCCTCTTGCCATATGTGAGAATTTGCCTTCCAATATCTTCCGTGACAACGACCTGGATGAATCGAATAGAGCATGTCGTGAGATGTCTTTTTGGAACAAAAGATTCTCACCCGTGACTCGAGATTCATGAGAACAGCGGATATTGTTGCATTCTTGGCGCGCTCCAATTCCTCCTCCGTCACTGTTTGAACGTTACCGGTTGATTTTCTCGCAAAAACATATTGGAATTACCTTCACCACCCGTAGCGACAGTCGTGAGCTCGTCTGTTGCCAGATCGATAAGGTTGGGCACGAAGTCGGAGGTCTACGACAAAAGCGAAATGAGAAAAATCGAGAAGACCACTATTTAGGCTCTAAATTCATACCGAAGTCGCATGAATTCCAAATATTCCGGTGTCATTGTAGATACTGTTGAAGGCAGTGAAGGACTGCACTTTGTCGTAGTGATTCAGGACACGCGTATCTGTTGACACGTCTTGTTAATCCAAAACAACGTCTGTATACAATACAGCACTCACATAGACGAGAATACATCCCCTTCCCAGGTCCTCCAGACGAGAACGAGCCACCTCCTCCAAGTAGTGTCTAAAATCCGGAACAACAACAGTCAGCGTGAGAGTGAAAAAGGCAAAACACTTCCTTACTTGCAAAACAGTAACAGCGAATGAATCGTGCTCGTTGCGCCAGCCGCCGGGAACTTCGAAGGCAAGAGCAATATGTGTGGTCTAGAACATAACATTAAGCACAACGTTTCTAAGTAATAAGCTAGTACCGGTGAATCGGCAGTGCCACGCCAGTCTCCACCAATATACTCGGAAGGTCCACAATCAACACCTTTCCCAGAAGGCCAATCGGTGAGCAAAGGTTCGGCTACTGCCATGAGTTCTTCATGATCTACTCCAGAGGCAGCCAACACAATGCGACGAGGAATGAAGTTATTCTGCAGCAAACGAGTTACTGAATGTCACGAAGAAACTATAAACACTTACCCTCACGAAGTCCGTAAGAGTTGCGCCATCTAGCTTAGATAGCGCAGATTCGGAAGCCAGTAAAGGATGTCCAATGGGGCCGCTATAACCGGCAGAATGCAGTGCCTCCAGCAGAATACTTTGAGGATTATTGAACATTTCAGCCAGCTCCGCCTTGATTTTGTCGACCTGCAAAACCATCACAACCATTCTAGAAGAAGTTACAAAAGGTAGTGGCCTTGTTACCTGTTCGTGTACTTCCCAGCCGTGGAAAGCGGGATTGCGAACACTGTCCACGAGCAATTCGACCATCTGAGGCATGTAAGTCTTGATGGTGTCTCCAGTGTAGGCCATTTGTTCCCGTGTTGCCGAAGCCATGATATTTCCTCCGATTGCTTCCACTTCTCGCGTCAACCGGAAGTGCGAGCGGTTGTGTGTGGACTTGAAGGCCATGCGCTCCAACAGATGCGTGGCCCCGGAATTGGAAGCGTCTTCATGGATGCTACCAGAGTCTACGTAAATCCCGAGAGTCGCAGTTGGGCCCTGCGAGCCAAAAAGCAATCAAACAATGTGTTCTATCGAGAATAGAAAAGTCCACTCACTGCTATTTGCTCCGAAGCTATCCTCACACCGTTGTTGAGCGAAGAGATTTGAGTTCCCGATGGTTCCACAGTGTCCTCCAAGGAAGGAGGCAAATTTACCTCCGGTAACGCCTCGTAGAGAGCTGGGAGCGTTGGCAGTGGTTCACGGAAAAGCCAAGACAGCCATCCTTTGCTGGGGGTTCTCAGCGCTGGAACGGCTTGGCTAAACGGCGTGGAGGCGTGAAATCCACGGGCTTGAGCCTGCGACAAGATAGATCCACAAGAATGTAGGAAATTTCCAATCAGCCCAGCAGATCAAAACCTAGAAAAGAAATGGAGCTGCGAGTGGAAGGAGAAATCCAAGAAAAAGAAGCTAGATTGATGGATTGAGAGGAATCGATGCGAGCGTACCTTGTATTGGCCCAGGCGCCGGTGAAGAGCAGCTCTCACAACCATGGCGCAAGCGCTGTCCCAGAGAAGAAGAGGAAAGAAAAAGAGAATTTAGGGCTAGGGTTAGGGCTTCAACGATTAATGACACGTCAATTTTTTTTGAAAATCCCGTTAGGGCTGACTAGGGCTTTTAGTGGCGGGCGGGAATGCGAGGATGATCGCCCAGCTCTGCCTCATCGTCTCGCGCCTCCTCTTCCGGGCTCTGGCGCGGCCGATCTGGATCTTCACCGACGCAGTCCTGGAATGGCCGCTCTTCATCCATTTGCTGGTAATCGCCAGTGCCGTGTGGATCGCCGGCTTCGCGGGCTTCAATTTCCTCATCTCGATCCTCCTCTCGGTGCTCTACCTCCACAGCGTCGACAGCGTCCAGAAATCCCGCCTGAGAACGCAGCTCCAGTTCCAGATCGATCACGAGAGTATTCGGGGCGTCCAGGTCTCGGATAGCGAGACTGTGACTTGGTTTAATATCTTGCTCCAGGAAGGCTGGCCGACCTTTCTGGAGCGGTACCTCGCCAGGAACATCATCTATCTCTTGGACGTGAATCTCAACTATTACAAGCCCCGGGCAGTGAGCAAGATCCTGGTCGATCGTCTCCGCCTTGGAAACTCTCCTCCGGTTGTGCACTCGGTGAAAGTTTATCGAAACTCGAGCGCTGGCGAGCACGTTGTGATCGAGATGGATCTCTCGTTTGTGGCCGACGAAGACATGCAGTTGGAACTCATGGCTTGTCTCAAGAAGGTGTCGGTCGGGTTTGGATTTGCGGGCAAGCTCTACGGGACCAACTTGAGGATCGAAGGGAAGCTCAAGCTCGGGTTTAAGTTTGTGGCTTACTATCCTTACGTTGGTCAGCTCTCCATCGCTTTTGTGACGGCACCGTTGCTGGGATTGAGTGTCAGGCCGCTCTCGTCGAGCAGTGTGGATGTTACTGACTTGCCGCTAATCGCTTCCTGGGTGGTACGTTGCTAGCTCTTGAAAGTGATTGATTTCTTCGTTGATCCTTTTTCAGAGCAAAGCTGTTCAAGCAGCTATCGAGACGTGCATGGTGGAGCCTTACCCTTTGGTTCTTGACATGATACGGTTGTTTGGAGCCGAGTATGATCTCGACATTGATAAAGATGGCGTCAGGCTTCTCCCTGGTAAAAATCTTTGTTTTTAATATATGACTGATGAAACGTGAGCAGCGAGTCTTCATGAGATCAAGGAAGCCGCATTCGCGATACTGGAGATTTTGGAAGGCAAAGACTTGGAAGCCAAAGACAGATCGGGTATGTCGCATCAATTCATTTTTCTATATTGCTACATCCACAATTTTTTGTACAGTACAGGCTACTCTGATCCATACGTGAAGATAAAAATGGGCAAGCTAAAGTTTACGACTTCTGTGAAGAAGCAGACGCTCAATCCCTCATGGCACGAGCTATTCCGGGTGAGGATAATCAGCTGGAATTTGCCTTCCAAGATCCATTTCCGTGTTCGGGACCGAGACAAGTTTGGGAAAGACGATGAGCTCGTAAGTCTTTTCTTTTTCTAGCTCGGAGATTAATCTTCATGGTGTTCTTGTGATCGATCCCAGGGGTGGTACGAGCTCGACTTGATACACTTACGAGGTGGAGACAGGCACGACATGTGGTTAAAGCTGCGAGACGTAAGGAAAGGCTTGCTTCACGTAGCCATTTCCATTCTCGAGCCTCCCTCGAAGATAGTCCAGGCAGCAGCAGGCGTTGGATCTCTAGCAAACAGCTCCACGACGCTTAAGGTGGCTCCGGCTCTGGAAGGATACCTGGTTAAGCCGGGACTGATGGAAGCTCTCCATCTCGGTGACGTTTTGGATGCTCCAATGGCTCCAGCAGCACTCGTGGACAAGCCGGCTGCTAGTGTAGAGGACTGGAAGCTTGACGCAGTGGATCAAGGCAAGAGCATAGTCGATCTCGGGGAGTCGTCTCTCTCACAGGGAACAGTAGTGAGGTGCCAGAAGAGGCTTCTCGGAGGCTTGTACAAGAAACTCCGGCCTTGGGGGAGACGATATGCCAACGACAGAGACGTGTTCATGGATATGGAGCACAAGCCGCGGCCATCTATCTTCAAGAGAATTTTTCTCAGCGACAGGAGACCCTCGAGAACAGGCTAAGTCTCTCTCAAATCACAGAAGGTTCTTCTCGGAAAAAAAATCGAGAAAAAACATCACGAAGAATCAAAGGTACTTTTTTTTTTTCTTCATCCTATAGGCTCGTGTGCTTCTTGGTTGCATTGCAGGGACGCAAATTATTCGTTCCATCAAAGAGGTAAGTAGTGAATGAAAACTACGTTCTTTCTAACTCCTTTTCCCCTTCATGGCAGGCACCAGAATATTCTGGCTTTTAATCAACAGATATTCTCCGCCAGCTAGGGTTCCTAGTTTTTTTTTCCTTTTTGCCATTTTGGCTTTTGCTGGACAGCGAATGCGGGCCGACGCTGAGGAACAGGGCGGGCGCTTGGCAATTCATAGCTCCGGGTAAGCCTCTCGCATTTCCCTTGGCGCTTCTTTGTTCACAGGATTTAGTTCTTTGGGGGTGATTTGTAGAATGCCTTGGATTTGGGTTCCCTAGCTTTGTTTTTCTTCTTCCTCCTGTCGGTATGGACGGCAGCCCGAACAGACAATCGATTGTTCAGGTGTAGTGGCTGGGAAAAATGTAAATTTGTAGAACAGCGAGGCTTGAAACGGTATTAATTCTTTCTTTCTTTGTCTTCGCAGGCTGTGAATGAAGGAGACGGCAAAGAGATGAGGCGATTATCCGGGTCTTTCACGAAACGCTCCGGCAAAAGGAATCCGATTTATCTAAACATTTACGACCTCACTCCGATGAATGGCTACCTCTATTGGTTTGGCTTGGGAATTTTCCATTCCGGTATTGAAGGTAAGTTTTTGCTTTCTTTTTCACTCCCAGACACTGCCTATAGGAACTTACATTCTCTCTCTTTTCGCTTTTCCAGCTCATGGTGTGGAATATGGCTTTGGAGCTCACGACTATCCATCTAGCGGTGTTTTCGAAGTAGAGCCGAGGACTTGCCCGGGTTTTACTTTTCGAAAGTCAGTGTGCTTGGGAAACACTCGTCTTGGTGCCGGAGAGTTCCGGGAGTTTATAGAACGTCTCGCGAATGACTACAATGGCGACTCGTACCACCTGATCGTGAAGAACTGCAATCACTTCACGAACGACGCGTGCATGCGATTGACGGGGCTCTCAATCCCAGGCTGGGTAAACAGGCTCGCAAGACTGGGTGAGTGGTGTTCTTTCGTAGGAAAGGAAAACTCACACTCGTGTTTTGTTACTTCGCAGCCCAGCTTTGTAATTGTTTGCTCCCGGATAGCCTCCAGGACACGACTGTGAAGAAAACTCCCGAGTACCATTCGTGTGAAGGTACGTTTGTGTTTGTTACGTTTGCTTCTCCTTTCGTGCTCTTCGGATCATCGGTTTTCTGGTATTTCTTGTTTTTATCTTTTGCCTTGGTCATCAAGTGTTTGTCTCCATCCAGACTTGACTTTGGTCGTTGAATTCCTCTATTTTATTCTCTTCTTAACGAGTGCTTTTGTTTTGCTCGCTAGATTTGTGCCTCGAGACACCGCAACATCCCAGCGGCGGCAAAGCCGAGATCGAGAACGAGCAAGACCAGTTGCTCGTCGCTACCGCGAGCAACGCATCGGAAACACTGATGCAAGAGCGGCTAAAGCAGGTCCGAATCGTGGAGACGCTCTAGTGAAGCTAGCCAAATCTCTTCCACAAATTTCCTTCTGGATCCAAGTAAGTTCCTGGATCAACAACAAAGTTTTTCTAAAGGTTTTCGCAATCCAAGTGATATTCCCGAGTGGATTTGACAAGAACAAGTGGTATACACGTAAGGCTTTGGTGGAATGTTGCTGTATCGCCCACGATCCTCACATGCGACAGGATTGATTTTCTTAAAAGTATGGCAACTGTGAAGATTGAAACTGTTTTTGAAAAACCATTCTACGAGCATGGGGCCACACCAGGCATGAATTTTGGGCTTTTTCTACGATTCAGTGCTCGGCATGATCCATGATCGTGGAGTACGGCCGTGAGCCGTCGATTCGATGCGTCCGGTGGCGTAGCAAAATTGCAGCCGCTCGATTGTGTTCTAGTCAGTGGAGTTCCTCGTGCCTTCTTTTGTAAAATATATTCTTCGTCTCCTTTGCGAGGATGGGATGTAAATTCCATTCTGTGCAAACGCAAGAGAGCGAATCATCGCAGCTTTGGCGGAAGGCTTGGTCAGCGATTGCGGCGACGATCGAGGTCAAAGGGCGGGAGTTCTTGTCTTGGGCGATTCAATGGCCGCGATTGCTCGTTCTTGGTAGCTCTCTCTGCCAGCACTGGCACTGGCATTTCTTCGTCCATCTTTTCACTGTGGCTTTTGGCGGTGTTCGCTACGAAACATGTGAGTAGAGTTTGTTTTCTCTGTTGGTGAAAAACTATTTTGTATTTTTTATTTCTTGCGGCTGATTCATAGCATGGATTCTTATCGATGGAATGAAATGTAGATGGGACCTCGCACGGATCTCCACAAAAACTTTAGAGCAGGAGTGATGTGAAAGCATCTTCTTCGATCACTGCTCACTTTTCTCCAGGCGATAAACAATTGTGTGGTGAGTTGTTTCTTTGGTTCTTGCTTGTGAAGTTTTGTGATCGTTCTTTCTTTCCAGTCACACGATGCGGGACGAAGATCCCGATCAAGCCACCAAGGTGGTGATCGAGATGGTCAACGACGATGGAGTTTCAGTGTCTAGCGATCGTCCTCTCCATCGCACCGAGTCCATTGCTTCGGGTGGAGGCGAGAAGAGATCCGCTGTGGTCACGGCCATCAAAGTTAAGACTGCTTTCACTCGTCTCGCCAGCACTGTCAGGAATCACAACTCTCCAAAGGCCACCAAGTTTGATCGAGCGAAGCAAGCAAAGTTTTCCAGGACAAAGTCCAATGCCCTCCAGGGACTTCGTTTCCTTACCGGGAAGAACAAGAAGAAAGTGTCGTGGCTCGACATCGAAAGGAGATTCACGGTGCTGGCAGTGGATGGAAGCCTTTCTCGTGAAAAATTCGGTGAATGCATAGGTGAAGTTCCAATGTTTTCTACCTTCCTTTTTCTTTTCTTCTTCAATCTTCTGACTATCAAGCTTTTGTGTTCTTTGCTTTCAGGAATGGAGACCTCGGAATTTGCTCAAGCGCTCTTCGATGCGCTCGTCTCCAGCAAGAAACTCGAGAACCAGCAAAGCATTTCCAAGGAAGTTCTTCACGCCTTCTGGCTGCAAATGAGCGACGATAGCTTCGACTCTCGTATGCAAATTTTCTTCCAGATGTAAGTTCTCGATTGTGATCAAGATGCAGTGATTTCGAATCGTTTCTTCGTTCCTCAGGTTCGACAGAAACGCAGACGGACATATATCAGAAGAAGAAGTCAAAGAGGTGATTGATTGAGAGTGAGTGACAACCATCTTGCTCTTCTCTTAACTCTTTTTTTTTTTCCTTGGTGCGGCACAATCGTGTAGATTATCATGCTTAGTGCGGCAACCAACAAGCTTGCCAAGCTCAAGGCACAAGCCGACGAGTTTGCCGCGTTAATTATGGAAGAGTTGGATCCTGACAAGAATGGCTTCATTGAGGTAAATATTTCCACGATGCCATGATCGAGCTTCATAGTTTTCCTTGTCCACTTTTCTTTTTCCTGGCAGCTTTCGCAGCTCGAAGCTTTGATGAGAGTTCCGGAGCCAGCGCATGCCAAAGACTCTTTCCTCAACTACAGCACAACCATCTCTCGGAATCTCGTCGGCGTCAAGCGGAAAAAGCACACTCCACTTCTCTCCTTTTGGAAAGATTCGAAGTTCTACCTCTCCGAGAACTGGAGGTACCTCATGTTCTTCGGACTTTGGATTGCGACCATGGCGGGATTGTTCGCGTGGAAGTTTTTCGTGTACAAGCAGCGAGCAGCTTTTGAAGTCATGGGATATTGTCTGTGCGTCGCAAAAGGTGCTGCCGAGACTCTCAAGCTCAACATGGCACTCGTGCTTTTCCCGGTCTGTAGAAACACCATCACCTGGTTTCGTTCGACCTTCGTCGGCAACATCGTTCCGTTCAACGACAACCTCAAGTTTCATATGGTACTTACAACCTTTGATCTTTTGTTTTCGTCTTCTTCTTCTGAAAGTTCTTTTTCGTCCAGATGATTGCGTCTGGTGTTGCAATTGGAACTGTGATTCACGCTGGAGTCCACTTGGCCTGCGACTTCCCGAGAATTACTAGCTCGTCTGACGAGCTCTTCATGCGCACCCTCGGCAAAAGTTTTCATTACAAGAGACAAACGTACGTTGATCTGCTCAAGTCAGTGGCTGGGGTTACTGGGATCGCGAGCGTGCTGCTCATGGCTTTTATATTCCTGCTAGCGACGCCATGGTTCAGGCGAGGCCAGGTAAAGCCACTGTGGCCTTTGCACAGGCTAAGCGGATTCAACGCCTTTTGGTACTCGCACCATTTGTTTATCTTTGTCTACGTCCTGCTCATTGTCCACTCGCTTTTCATTTATTTGGCACATGGATGGTGGCAGAAAACGGTTCGTAAGTGGCTCCTTTGTTCTTTGAGACTTGTTTTTCCACTGACGAGTTTTCTCTTTTCTCTCGTTTTGGTTTCTTGCACAGACTTGGATGTATCTCGCGATTCCAGTGGCTTTATATGCTTCTGAGCGATTGGTACGAGCCATCCGTGCGGGACTGTATACAGTTCGTGTAGTCAAGGTCTGGCACGAAGCTTTTCTTTAGGATTTCGTTCATGGTTTTGATTGAGCAGTTTAACTACAGGCTGCTGTTTATCCTGGAAATGTCTTGGCTTTGTACATACAAAAGCCTCGCGGTTTTAAGTACAAGAGTGGCATGTATCTCTTCCTCAAGTGCCCGGCCATCTCGCACCTTCAATGGTAAGTACTAGTAGTTCCTTGGCTTTTTTTTTTCTTTTCTTTAGTCAGCAAGCTTTGATCTTTTCATCACAGGCATCCTTTTTCGATCACTTCTGCTCCAAGTGATGACTACTTGAGCATCCATATAAGAAGTGCCGGGGACTGGACCTCCAAAATGAAGAAAATCTTCTCAGAGGTACGTATGCTGCGATACATTTGAACTCCAACTCTGAAAGCCGTGTACAGGTTTGCCACAAACCCGAAGTTGGCAAAAGTGGCTTGCTCAGAGCTGAGTATGTGGATCATGATCTGGAGTTCCAGTCACAACCAAGGTAGGAAAAATAGATTTAGAATTGTACAGAAAAGCTGTGTCTTTTTTTTTTCGTCTATTGCAGGTTTCCAAAGCTACGAATTGATGGTCCCTATGGTGCTCCAGCACAAGATTACATGAAGTATGATGTGCTGCTGCTCGTTGGTCTTGGCATTGGAGCAACACCTTTCGTAAGTATTCTGAGAGACATCTTGAATCACGTCAACAGGGATGTGGAAGTAAGTTCTTCCAAGTTACTCAAGCTACAAACTCATTCTCATTTCGTTGGGATCGCAGAACAATGGGAAGAAGAGCGGTCCTACAAAAGTTTACTTCTACTGGGTGACTAGAGAGCAGGGATCTTTCGAATGGTTTAAAGGTGTCATGAACGAGATTGCAGAGATGGATCACAAGGTCGGATTTTTCTCGCATTCTTTTGCTTAATAGTTTGCATGAACTTTGACGAGCAGAGAGTTATCGAGATGCACAACTATCTCACGAGTGTGTACGAGGAGGGCGACGCTCGATCGGCACTGATCACCATGATCCAGGCTTTGAACCTGGCCAAAAACGGAGTGGACATCTTGTCTGGAACTCGGGTACGTACGAAGATTTCTTCTAGTTCCTGTAGTTTCTAAAAACTTTCGCTCCTCTCCAGGTAAGAACACATTTTGCGAGACCAAACTGGAAGACGGTGTTTTCACGGCTCTCAGCAGTTCACAGGCATGCTAACATCGGTGAGTGATTAATTCTCAAGACAAAGCTTTGGTCTAGCATCTAGAAAAGAGAAAAGGAGCCATCACTCCCGTTTTCCACGTTTTGTTCCTTGCAGGCGTATTTTACTGTGGTGCCCCAGCAGTGGCGAAAGAATTGGACACACTGTCGCGAGAGTACACGCACCAGAACTCAACCACCTTCGATTTTCACAAGGAAAACTTCTAAGAAAAAATTTCTCCTTGCGAGCAAATATCTTGCGCTCGAGCTCTGCTCTCAATGTACAAAGGAGAGAGAAAGGGGAAAATTAGGCGCTTATAGTTAGAGCTTAATGTTTCCGTACAGAATATCGGAAAATGCGATGCTCTTGTGCTGGGCCATATTTGGCCATGCTCGTACGCATTTGCCAATGTGTTGCGCGAGACCTAGTTCTGGCGAGCTCGGCCAACAATCAGGGTTTTTTCGAGAGGAGCAGTGCGAGAGGGTTTTAGGATCGATCGGCAGCGTCGCGGCAATCCAGGTGAGCTGCCAGGTTTTCTCTTGGCGTAGATTAGGTCTTGGAGGATCCGGGGGCGCCGCGGCAGCTCGGCGGCGAAATTGCCAGAGTGTGGGGGATTCGCGATGGATTCCAGGCGCGATTCGCAGCAGTGAGAGGGGCGGCAGCTGTGTATGGATCAGAGCTGGGAGCGGCAGAGCTTCCTGAGGCAGGAAGACAACGTAGAGCTGTGGGATAGGGAGAGCAACACCAGTGATGAGGAGTCGTCCATTGGCGAGTACGAAGGCACAGATTTGACGATGATGCCCGTGAACGAGGTGGACTTGGAGGAGCTGTGCTGCGAGTTTCCCAGGGACGAGTTGGGGACCGTGCTCGATGGGCTCAACAAGTTCCCATGGACTGTCTATCCCATCCATCTCAGGAATTGCCTCTCGGCGGCTGCAAAGATCGTGAGTGGTGGCCGGGAAGAATTCGGTGGGGACTTTCGCAAGCTCCAGACTCTGTACCGGGAGGCTGTGCCGAGCGCGTTTGAGAAGTGCCTGGACGACAAGGCGATATGGAAGTGGACCAACGAGATCCACAACAACATCTTCGATGCCGTGTGTAAGCTCATGGACTTGGTATCCGTCAAGGCTCCGCAGCTGCTGCTCGACGACGTTGGTGTGGACGATGACATGCTGCCGCTGCTCAGGACGCTCGCCATTGCCTTTGACAAGCAATGCCAATTCCATCTCAAGCACAAAGAACAGGGTCTGCCACCCTCGGCCTCGTCGGTTTCTCCTCCCTGCAACTTTGCGAGGCCGATGCCCGGGACGCCGTCGAGGAAGGCCAGCAGCAACAACGACTGGCATTGTGCGAACCGCAAAGGCGCCGCTGTCAGGGACGAGAGCTGCGACTGCAACAGGTGTCGTCCTCCGGATGTCTACTGCTGGCTGGCCTATCTCTTGAACTACTTTGGCCACACGGCTTACGGGAATGGCTACCAGCATCTCCTGCGGGTGCTCAACTATCCGCAGAAGCTTTTGCCGGCGGTGATGGAAGCTCTGCTGCTTCCCATTGCGAGGTCGACGGAGTTTATCACGGACGAAGTCGCCAGCCACCTTGGCGACCCTTGCAGCAGGATTTTGAGGTACGTAGAGGACCTGCTGGAGAGAGACGTGGATGCTCTGAGCGACAAGACAAAAGACGGGTCTTTTGGAGCGCTGTCGCTGATACTGAAGCACTTGCAAGTCATACTCGGTCGGAGCTCGTCGGCAGAAAAGGCTGAGAGCATGACGAGCATTGTGCAACGGAAGATGGTGGAGCGCATGCTGGGATTCAACTCATTCAATAAGCAGCTGAGCGCGGTTCGGGAGATCAACAAGCTCCTAGAGAACGCTCGAGCGATAGCTCCAAGGTTCGTGTTGTTTTCTAGTTCTTACGTTAAAGCTTGATGTTTCGATTGATACGTTGCAGGGATAAGTCGCGGTCCGTTAATGCAACAATTCAGTGGCTCGAGCGAAACAATATCTTGCGGCATGTCCTTAGGTCCCATCTCCACCACAAACAATACGTAGACCAGGTGAGTTTGACACTTTTTGTGGCTGCGTTTGAGTTTACCTTTATTTAACAATGAAACAGGTAGAAAAGATTATGAGGTTTTTGCTGCAAGAGCGTCGCCTTTCAGAGGAGCATATTGATGCTATCTGGGCAGCCACTGAAAAGCCGGACCAATTTGAAACGGTAGGTTTGATGTTGTTTGTACCCTCTGGAAGATTACGCTTTTCATTATTGGCAGGTCAAAGCAAATATCTTTGATCTTCTCGCCGATCTTGCTTGGTCATTTTCAGCCGAGCAGCTGGATAGTCTATTTGGTCGCTTCGAGCGCAGCCAGGTACTTCATATCTCTGTTTTCTTGTGTCACTTTTATGTGTAACAGGGGCGCTCGCCGTCAGATATCGTGAAGATCCTCTCTTTAGTTAAAAAACTCGCCCGGAGTGACACAAAGGGAGTTATGGCTCAAAGGTGCGTGTTAGTAAGTTTGGTTTCTTATGTTTATGTTTTATTTAGGCTGCTGGAGCTACTCTGGAATATGATGCACTCTGGAGAAGCACCTGCGGAAGTTCTTGACTCAGGAGCTCTCACCGAAATTCTCGGCCACTATGACTCGGTGAACTGTGCTAGTAAAGATGTGGGTCAGAGAGGCTTTTCCTTTTGGCAGTAAGATTTAGTGGCACTTGCTGTTAGTTAGTCTCCTGTGTTCCTGTCTGATTCTGGGTTTTCACCGCCGATTTTAACATGTATTTTCGCTTTGCAGGAATACATTTCGAAATGCCTGAAAAATGTAGAGCATGGAATCTCGGTGATTCCGTCTTTACGTCTACTTCGTGAAATCATACTTTTAGATAACGAGAAGCCATTTTACCAGGTAAGCGTTTTCTGTGGTTTTTTTATTCTCTCGTAACGATATCCACAGGATGAGGTTTCTCGTCAAATGCGCCTTCAAAAGCTCATAAAAGACGATTGTTTTTTACTCATGGTAAATATTGAAGGTTTTTATGATTTAGTTTCTCAAACTTGCTATTCAGGTTGTGAAGAGTTTGGAACAGTACATGGCCCACGCTCGATTGATGTGCTCTGAGAAGTTAGTGGTGGCAAAGCCGTCAGAGAAGACTGCAGCACCCTATTCCATTGCAGATTGTCGGTACACCCATGATCAACACGTGAAGGAGCGCTTGGAATTCATATTGTTCTCAATACAGGTATATTTTGCACTGCTTCTTTGCGGTTTAATGGTTGGTACAGGCAGGCGATGTTAGTTTGCCCTGGGATGCTATGGAGAGGCTGTGGAACTGCATGATTGAGTCGTCTGTGTTCGATGCTGACAAGGAGAGGGGGTTCCAATGGCTGTGCGATGCTCTTGAAAAAACCCCGTGCTTGTCCTTCGACGCAATGCTCAACATTCTCACAAAGAAACTTACCTGCATGGACCCTTGTTCTCTTTCGGAAATTGCCTGGAGGTAAGCTGCATGCAAGATGGTTGACACTCTTGATGTATTTTACATAGGTGCTTTATGAGGCTGTTTCTGTGGGTGAATCTTTTCGAGAAGAAACTTGTGCGAATAAGAATCGATGAAGGGACTGAGACGCACGACTTGCAGCTGATTGGAATGTCCTACATGTGGCAAGCTGCTCTTTCATCACCTGTCAATAGCATTGCGGAACAGAGCATAAGCATGTTGCGGGACATCCATACTCACCTCTCAGACAGCCTGCGGCAAAATTTGGTTCAAATACGCCAGTGCTTTATCAACGAGTGCCTGCGTAACTTGACTGCTGCCCTTGAGAATGGACACAGGAATACGGAGGCAACAGATAGTAACAGCATCAGTATGGTTGATGGGAACGTAGATGTGCCGGACGTGGAAAATTTTACCGAGTCGATAGAAAGTGAGGCAGACAAGCCGTGCACTGTGAATTTCGAAAAGGATCCGTACAAAGTCGAGCGCTGCCTACGGATACTAAGAGTAAGCCTTCCTTTCCGTTTTTATGTTCTTTCGATGCTAATTCTTAACCGTTTAAATTTTCAGGAGTTTATTATAAAATGTGAAGGATCCTGCCCTCGTAAAGTTCCTGCGCATGGTGCTTCATTTCAAGGACGACCGCTTACTTTGGGGGTATTTGTCCAAAATGTGTGGTAAAGTTGTAGAAAACGCGATGTTTTTCTGTAGGTTAGCACGGCAAATAAGCAGTCGACACGTTTTGACATTCTCGTTCATGCAAACGAGTACCTTGGTTCGTTTCGAGCAAAGGTAAGATTTATTTTAATATTTGTGGTTTATTTCACCGCTCTATAGGTGGCTGAGAGGCTTGAATGTCCCGTTTCTCGTGTGCGTTTGATGCACGCAAACAAAGAACTTAAACAAGATTCACAGGTATGCTTTGCCGCTATAGTTGTTTCTGTTGGCTAGAAGGATGCATGGCAGGTGTTGCGGCAGCTGGGCTTAACCGATGGTCAGCCCCTGACTGCGTCGGTATGTTAGCTTGCTTGTGATTCCTTTTACTGATATTCTTGCAGGTTAATATCGTGGACCTTGTTGAAGAGGAGATGGATGAGCTGCAGCTACCGGGACTTCTGATATCAAAGAGCCCTCAGGTACACGTCACACCCACCCTATTGTCTCTTGTGCATTCTGATTATCAATTTTGCAGGTCTACGATATCCTTTTCAGACTTGCCGAGGCGGGTCACGGTGGTGTTCGGGAGGTTAGTCAGCATCGTACATTTCATGTTTTTAACGGAAATTTAAATGTCAGGAAGCAAACTATCTCCTTTCATTGCTGCCAACACATCCTGGAATCCTCAGTGAATTTCAGGTAAACGTTTCTTGTTTTTGCGTTGTCCGAACAAATTATTCATGACACGCGGGACAGAATTTACACAAGAAGCCAGTGGCCAAAGCAAAAGAATTTCTTACTTTGCAATTTGGAGCCCACTGTCGACTCCTGTATACACTTCAGGTATACATACGAGATTTTACGGGATTTTGATTTGTTTTCTTTTTTCACAGATAGTGGACGGCTTGCTTATGCCCGTCAATCGAAATGTCGAAAATCAGCGGTTTAGAAATGACTTTATTCGATTTGGAGGCTTTCGGTAAGTTGTGTCTATCAATTGTTTATCATGACATAACAAACGAGTTCCAGGCATTTAATGACGGTTTTCGAACCTGGTGCGATGATGGGAGTTGATAGTCAGACACGGCGTGGCTGTTACACTAGCGCCCTACGTATTTTAAAGCTTTTGGTGAGTAAGAAATTGTGTTCACAAATCCTTATTAGTTCCGAAATGTTCAGTTGTCAGAAACACAAACTACTTCTCTTTCCGACAACACTCGAATCATCGGGTATGTATTTTCACTACCAGGCAGGGAGCGATTTCTGATGTTTTTAAATATGCAGAGGAGATACAGTCGAAGAATCTGAAAGTGGGAGCACCATCTCTGTTAACGACGACGTCAACGTTGAAAAAGTAACCAGAGTAGTTTTCCAACAATGACGTATATGTAAACCTTTTCTTTGAGCAGCTGGAAGTGATCGACATGTCAGTAGTCGCAGGTGCTCTAAAGCGACTTACTTGGGGGACTGCACTAGGCCAAATATCTATGCTAGCCAGTTCTGCGCCTTTGGCGGAGATTTTGAAGGGTCGAAGGTCTGAAAAGGTGACCAATGTCTAATTTGATGTGCTGACCCTGCTATACTGACTCTAGACGTTATTCTTGCAGAAGTTTGAAAACAGTGGGGACTTCTTAAACCAGGACGATCGATACCTCTGCCTTGAAGCGCTGGAACTTCTTGTAAGTTTTTCTCTTTTTATTTCTTTCTCTCTCTAAATCATACTTCTTACCAGGTGACATGCCTGCTGTCACATAAATCATTACTTGGAACTTTCTTTTCATCTCCCGACGTTGGCAGGTTTATTGTGGTACGTATTTTGTCTCTTTTTCTACTTGTATCAACTTATTTCTTCTTAGGATATGGTTTTACATTCACCTGACGAGTTTGTCAGATACCAGGCAGCGTCCAGCTTTCTGAGATTGAGGTAAAAGATGTTTTTGTGTTTAGAATGTTGTAACAGCTATGATTTCTTCAGCAAAGAATCGGGAAAACATCCTATCGTTCGTCGGCATCTTATGGCCGCCCTCATTGACACGAAGGCGGAAGCTAACACCGAGCCGAAGCGCTGTTTACCAGTAAGTCCAAGTGACGTTAACGTAGCGACTGAGCTGTTTTGTTTCAGTTTTTGGAGCTCTTGGGGCAGCTCTTTTATCGCATCAGTGGGCCTGAAGAGCATGCAATGGGGGAGCAGCAGCTTCTGGAAGAGCTTTCTTGGCTTAGATGTGCACCCGAGGCCACTGATGACGATGACAGGGTGGGTTATTTTATTGTGATCGCAACTCTCTCTCATCTGTTTTCTCTGCACAGCTTCTTGAAGGACACTTATTTTTAGTAAAAGTGTTGATAGAAGTTCTTGATCGACGTCTTATTGGCTCGAGCAAGTTGCCTCAGGGGACCGGCCTAGTGCAAGAGGTACTAAATTTCTGCTTGTCGGACCAGGAGAACGCTGACAGTGATAATTTGCAGCTGGTTGAGAGTTTCTTATTTCTAGAATCGGCAATGCTATGGAAAATCGACGATGACAGCTGCGACAGGCTCGATGACAGAGTCCTGCAGTCGAGGTGCGGGACTCGTCGAAGTCGCGAAAAGGCTTTTCAGCTGCTGACTTGCCTGGCCACCCACTGCATTGACAACTTGAAGGAAATAGTGGATCTGCTGGTGAAACTTCATTTCTCATCCGATATTCACGAATGGGAGCACTTGCCTTCGTATGGTCGAAAAGCTCTCAGTGGCTACGTCGGGCTGAAGAACGCCGGAGCCACCTGCTATATGAACTCGGTCTTCCAGCAGTTATACATGCAACCGGATGTTCGGCGGACAGTTTTAGAATGTAAGGAGTGCGACGACATGGAGAAGGCAGACTCAGTTTTTTTCCAGCTGCAAACCATGTTTGGGGCTCTTCTTGGCAGTAGTTTGGACCATTATACTCCTCAGGGATTCTGGGATGCGTACCGGGACTACGATGGGATGCCGATCAATCTTCGGGAACACCAAGATGCTTTTGAGTTTTTCAACCGCTTATACGATGCTGTTGATGATACATTAAAAGCGACACACCAAGAGACAACGCTGACGAAAATCTTCGGCGGCATTTTTGTCCAGCAGGTATGCTCAATTGTGCCTGTATGTCCTGGGATCATAACATTTTGTTTGTATCTCTTTCTTTTTCCCCAGGTGATTAGTCGCGGGTGTAACCATTGCAGCGAAAGAGACGAACCGTTTGCAGCGATCAGCGTGGATGTGAAGAACAAAAGAGATTTGCTCGAATCTCTGGATTCTTTTGTGCGAGGGGACTTGCTCGAGGCTGACAACGCATATTACTGTGATGAATGTGGCCGGAAGGTTGACGCACTCAAGCGGGTATGCGTGAAGTCGCTTCCGCAGACTCTTGTGATTCACCTGAAGCGTTTCGACTTCGACTACGAGACCATGCAACGGTTGAAGCTCAAGGACAGATTCGAGTTTCCGATGCATCTCGACATGAAAGCTTTTACGGTGGAAGGATTGGCCCTCCGTGACAGCATGAGTCAAGAAAGCTCGAGCCCAGCCACTACAAGCAATGGTGGTACTGATGGAAGTATCTGCAACGAGAATGGGGGCCTGAACTCCAAACCGGACTCTTACTATCAGTATGACTTGGTGGGTGTAGTTGTACATTCGGGGACCGCATTTGCTGGACATTATTATTCGTATATTAAAGAGAGGCAAGGGGATATTGAAAGGTTGGTACTACGATTCTTGGATCCTCGCTTCTAACTTTCAGCTGTGCATTCCAGGTGGATTGCCTTTGACGATAAACGAGTGGAACCGTATGACGTAAACGATCTCGAGAAGGATTGTTTCGGTGGAAAATACAGCGTGGACGTGTATGATAATTTTTTAAAAACCATGTCGCCACAGGTACACAATTTGGGTGTCGTTTCAGTTGCTAAGTTTTGTCTCCTGTCTAGGACTTCGATCGACCGAACAGTGCGTACATGTTGTTGTACGAAAGGTCCCGTAATTACGTATGTATCTTGGCTTTATTCTTTTCGACAATAACGTCCTCTTTGCAGGCTCCCATGGACTCGCCAGCAACGACATCTCACACAAAAGGTAGTTAGTTGTGTTCATGAATTCACGAATTATTTTGCTGTGTAATGTATCAGGTGAAGGCGATCAAGTAATGAAGGATAACTCGATTATGGATCGACTATTTACTGGGTATTTACTAGTTTTCATTGTCGGTACATTTTGAAGTTCTTTTTTTTTTTTTTTTGTAGGCGCCTAAGAATGCCAAGCTCAATACATCGAAGCGTTCGAAAAGAAAATCTAAGGTTAGGCTGTGGGATCTATTCTTAACTTTGCGGACTCTAATGACGTATGGGCTTTCAGATTTGTACACGAGAATCATCTCTTGGATAAGGATTATTTTAAGTTTCTTTACAGTTTGGTGGAGGCTAACTCGGATATAATTGAGGGAAGGTGCGTTTTCCGGTCTTCCAATGTCTGTTATAAACTATCGTCTGCAGGACTCCTCGGTATGTTGGTGGACCTGACGACAGCCGAGACAGGAAGGGTGAGACAAGTGGACGTAAAGCCGATTTAGCGGCCAAGGACTTGAATGCTAGCGATTTTGCAGAGCATAGTATCAGGATAGCTTTAGAATTTTTGTTTAGAGTATATTTGAGAACGCACGGTAGCCTTCGTGAAGACTTTCATCAATGGAAGGTAGTGGTATGATTTCGTCAATACCGTTTCTTGCATTGTTTCTAATCATTTGCTCTGTAGGTAACGATCTGGAAGCTCCTGGATCACAATATAATCGCCTGTCGATGTTTTCTCAACACGCTGGTCGAGAGACCGCAATGGGTGCAGGATTTCCTCCTTCGGTGTCCCGTTGAAGAAGTTCGACAGGTTTGACGCTTTTGTTTCATCCTTTGTAAGTTTTCCTGATATCGTTCCATTTAACAGGCTTTTGCTGCTCTTCTCGTCCATGCTCTAAAAACGGCCGTAAATATTTATCAAGGGAACGTGTTTTATGTGGACAATTGTGGTAGACAGCAAGACGCTTTGCATGTCGACGCCATGGTTGACACGCTGGTAATACTGCTGAGAGAAGCCGCGTCACCGAAGTCATATCTCCAACAGGTTTACAGCTCAATTCTTTTATAGTTGAGACTGCAACTAAAGTCTGTTGCAGTATTTCCAAGTTCTTTTGGACTACGTAAAACTGGGTCCCTATCCACGCCTACATTTACTTCGGAAAGCTGTTGTGGGTCATTTGGTGCGTTTCTTCTGTCTTTTGAGATTCTCTGGCATTTGCTAGACACCAAATGCTTTACGCAGGTGACATTTGCAACTAAATTCCAAATAGCTAAGCAAGATGCAGTGTACCTCCACACGGCCGTCTCTTTGCTTGTGAGGAGCTGCGATGCTAGTAAACTTTATGGTAAGCTGATTGCTCTAAAATTGTCCAGATTGTCTGACGCTAAATTCTGACAGATGAACCGGAAGTTGACAAGAAGTCGGACACCGAAACGAAGCCCTGTCAATCGAACCCTCAACAGTTTTGCTCCTTGTGTTTGATTCCAAAGGATGCGGCCGAAGGTGTCTTTAGGCACCGAATGTACACTTCAATTTTGGTATGTGGCGCTGCGTACTCTTGTCTGGAAGGCTTAGTTGTTTTTCTTTCCTGTCTACCAGATCAAGACATGTCCAGAACAGGAGGAAGTTATTAGACTCGTGGAATTTTGTTCCTGGCGTAATGAAACGTTTAGTGTGGTAAGTTGTTGCTCGTTCGTATGTTGGAAGCCGAACTAACTGTGACTCCGTGCAGGCCGTGTTGCAAGATGTAATGGAGGCCCTTCATCACGCTGTAAATAGTGAAGCATTGAAACCTATTCTATCACTCGCGTACAGGCTTTTGCAACTTGGAGATAGCTTGCAAGCGGTAAAGCTAAAGCTGATTTGTCACAGAGAACTGATCCAGCTGATGTTTTTATTCCCAACAGACGAGACAAGAGGTTCTTCTCCTCGGTTACGAGAGTTTCCCCAATGGAGTTCTGGACCTTCTAGTCAGCAAGGTACGAAACCAAAAGCTCCAGAGTGAATCTGACGTGTGTGTGTGTGTGTGTGTGTGTGTGTGCAGGCAGTAGCGGTCCACAAGAGGTACTGCCTGATCAAATTCATTGTCAAGCTGGTCGATTTGTTCCCCGCGTCCCGTGTGCACGTCCTAAGTCGGAAGCAGGACTGGAGGCGAGCCGTGGATTGGCTGCAACAGGAGCTCCACGGGATTGGGCTGAGCGGCAGCATTGCGCCGGTGTCCAACGAGGACCTCTCCAATGGCTATCTGATGAGGACGAGCACCGCGGAATGGACCTTGACATCGGCTCGCAAGCTGCTAAGTTGCTAGAGGATACAAATATCCCCATCTTCTTCTTTGTGTATTATATTACCACAGGCAAAAAAAAGAAACTATCTTCTTCAGGGCAGTCCCACGGCTAATTTCCCCGCGTGAATACAAATAACATGGATTGTCCTTGCATTCTAGTACACATTAGTTGAACAGCTCGCTCTTGCTTCTCTCACAGCTCTTGTTTTCGTTCATTGTCTCTGGCGCGGCTCTTGCTCTCTTGCTTCGTTCACCACGGCTCCTGGCGCAGCAGAGATGGATAATGCTGAAGCTCTACACCGCCCGCGCATTTCGATGAGCTTGTTGGAGAGGAAGACACCGCCGCTGGAAGACAAATCCTTTCAACTCACAACGCATGCGTGTGGCAGCGACGAAGAAATCCGCCGCCATGCACTGCCCGGCCTCGCCCGCGTGGGAGCACGGCGCAGCCGTGGTTCGCGAGAGCATGGAGTTCCAGGCCACCGTGTTTTTGGTAGTGATCCTATCGAAGCATCGCTTGGCAGCGCCAATCCTAGATCCCTGGCGGCCGTGACGCTCTGGACGAGCTCTAGGCACTTTCTCTTGGGTAAGTTTTTAAAATTTCTTCTTCTTCGAGTCTTAATTATTTTTCATGTAGCTTTGTTATTTTGGATGCTTATCACTTCTACAAGAGTTTCTAGCTTCCATTTGCACTTTGGAAATTTTCATGTACCTGAAGCCACTTTAATTATCAAGGATCCAAGGTCTAGAGACCCCAGAGCTTCTCCACAATTTTCCTTGATTGTGGACAGGTTCACTTGGGTGCAATCCAATGAGCTCCAAAAGGCAAGAGTAGCTGAATGGTTTAGCGAATATCAATGTGCTGACTTTGCTAGTGAATGGGATTATAGTTATTCCGAGGGGCATTGTAACATTAACGTGACTTATGGAGGTGGTGAAGCAGGCATAATAGGCTATATGGCTGAGGCATATGATATAGCAATAGGTGGTACCACAGGAATTGTAGTACCGCATGGCCTGTTCCTTAATGCTACTCCATTGGGCAAAGTGACCAGGATTGCCGGAATATTGTCTCATGGGCTTCATGAATCTTCTTTTTTCAGCCAGATGAGCAAGACAAATAACATCAAAAGCATGGAAATCTGTAGCGTTTATAACGAGACAACAGATCGCTTGAATGGGACGATGCAATTTAAGGGTGGTGCATTTGACACAAAGCGGCTACAAAGGATTAATATTACAAATTATGTTAGAAATAATCATTGGGGAGTTCACCTAAATAGCATGACAATAAATGGGTTCACTATAGGAAAAGAGTGTGATCAAGATGTTATTTTCGACACAGGAAGTTCTTATGCCGCATTGGCAGGTGACTGCTACAAAACAGTCAAGGATACCTTTATCAAAAACATTCCTTGGCCTGTTTACAAAGCACCAGAAAATCACTCAACGTTAGAAGTAATACCTCTTTTTCCGCTGTTCATACCACTCCAGGAAACGCCTCATCCCTGTATCAAAGCTGATGTAGTGATCCAACAGATAGAGCTGAGTAGGAGCGACGTAAGAAACCTCCCATGGTGGCGGATTCAGGTTGTCCGCCTCCTCGACCAATGCCTCCTTGCCTGTCAACCTGGAAACGACCTCGATCACTTGCCTGAACGATAGAGGTGGCTCTGGAGTGCCGATGTCCACCACAGTGACAACACCGGGAACATGAGCGATTCCCAACACCATCTGTTTCATGACTTTGACAGCATCATCGACGTGGATGTAGTTCTGGTTTCCGATCCTCTGCCGCCAAAGAGGGACCTTCTGCCCGCCAACAATCTGCTCGGCAAACTTGAAATACGGGAAATCAGGCCGTCCGAACTCTCCATAAACAGTACTAAATCGCCATTCTATAACAGGAAGATGTAGCAAGCCCGCCTTGAGAGCTGCAAGTTCTTCCCCCGATCGAGACGACGGCATGTAGAAGCGGTTGGGGCTGGCAAAGAAGACACCACGCACAGAGTCGCTCGTCGTGGCTGCGTCGATGGTCCCGCCCAGAGTGCGCTGGTTGATGGGCAGGCAGTAGGCATGCTCCTGCTGTGAGAAATCCACGATGGCATGGGGCCTGGCAAGCTTGACCACGTTGGCGACCAGATCCTTGGCAGTCACATTCCCGTAGATCATGTGCACTCCAGCCTTGTCAAGCAGCCTGGATCTCTCGGTGTGCCTGGCATCGATCCCCACAACACGGACCTTGGGCTTCTCATTTCCCTGCAAACCCAGAGCAAGGTGATAGCCGAGGAAGCCGCTTGCCCCCACCACGACGACCCTGATCGGCTTCTCCTTTTCCTTGCGGAGCTGGACAGTCATCGAGATACCCATGGCGAGCATGGCGGCTGCAAGAATGGCGACGAGGGCCAGCATGATCTGAAGCCACGAGAAATCACCGCCTGAGCGCCTCCGAGCCAGATGCGCACGACAGGCGGGGATGATCCCGATTCCCCTCACGGCCAGCTCCATCGCGCGCTCCATCGCGCGCTCGCTAGAATGTGCCAAATGTGAGCGCAATGTTAGGGCTAAAACAAAAGAAAATAAATAAATTTTGCCAAGGGGATAAAGTTATATTCGTCACGTATCCTAGGCCGGATGTTTCCAGAGATGGAGGTCCACAAGATTGTTGAGGCACTTCCGATCCATAAGGAATGCCTGCTCCGAGGATTGCTGGCGAGTATGCCCTTTCCCCCGGACGAGGTGGCTTGCAAGACTGTTCTTGCGGCGTGCGGATCTATCGCGATCTGGAGCGAGCAATCAGAGTCGCAGACGCGATGATGATTGATGAAAGGCCAAGCGTCCCTCTGCAGAGATTGCAGGAGACACTCTGGTAAGGGGACAAGGTCATTTTATTTCTTTGCGACCTTCCTGTACATTTACGAATCCAGCCTCTTCAAAACTTGGAAAGAAAGCACCAGCACAATCGATGTCATAAAGGAAAGAAAAATCTGCGGGTTTCTTACCATCTTCAAGAGGGCGACTTCCTTTGCCAAACTTTCAATATACAACAGTTCCAGACAGTAGTTCTGAAAATGACAAGAACAGTTGACATAACACAACCGAAAGAAACAACTCACTTTAAACATGGAACCTTCTCCAAGTGAGAGCTTTCGTTTCCCTGGCTCCTCCCGAGTTGCATGACTTCTTCGTATCCTTCGATTTCTCTTCCACTGTGGAAGCAATTTTGATCTGTAAATACCATGTTTAGCTGAGGAGAAACAAGAAAGCATAGCAAACCTGAATAGCAGTCGTAGCCTCAAGAAGCATCCTTTGCTGTCGCCCACTTGCTTTCGTGTTTCTACCTTCTTCATTGTACTGGGCTCATCAATACATACACTTTCTCGAGTCAAGAGAGTACCTCTTCTTCCGAAGATTCCAGCTCCAACTCGTCACTCGCCAGATCTCCTTCCTGAGCACCAGCGTTGCACGGAAGCGGTGGCTGAGGCACCGCTGTCATGGCCAACCCGAAAACAAGTTCACACAAGAGCAGAAACGCTTAAGATGTTGTCATCCGGTGGAGGCTAAGCATATCTGAAACATAAGAACAGAAAATGGACAGACGTAGTCTAGGTGATGTGGAAGATGGTTCACGCACGAATGACTTCCATCTCAGCACCTGATTAGGAGTAAATTATAATTTGACGAAATTACCCTAGTTTAGGGCTCGAATGTCTTTTTTATTGCTCATTGTCTTTGTACTTTTGCTAATTGGATGGGCAATCTTCCAGCTGAAAAAGAAGAAGGAACTTCGGGTTTTGATTGTGGGTGCAAGTGGTTTCCTTGGTAGCCAACTTGCTTTGGGATTGGCGGCACACAATCATCGCAACCTCCGATTTGTGGTGACCGGTTTGGATTTGGTGCGTTCAAAGAGGACTCTTCTTCTGGAGAACAAGGGCATTGAAGTGATTATTGGAAGTGCAACAGATCCAAAGCTGGCCATGTCAGTGATGAGGAGTAAAAAGCCAAACATTGTGGTGGATTTTACACAGCGGGAGCATAGCTGGAGTTTAGAGGACAATGAAAGAACTATAAAGTCATTGATTGATGCAGCATGCAGTGTTCCATCAACCCAAGGTTTCTTTTTTGCAAGCCCTAATCGGTTCTACATACCATCAAGCCGGTCTGGGGAAAAGCTGGTGGAATCTTTGGCACCAGAGCTACCATTTCCAATTGTGGAGTGGAGGTTTAGTACAGTTTATGGGAGATACGGTCGTCCTGATTTTCCATATTACACATTTGTTGATCAGATTGTGCATGGGGCTCTGGTTCCACTCAGTAGAGGGCGACAAAATTATATATACATTGATGATGCAGTGACTCTGATGATCAATAGTATCTTGTCAACTCACAGCATTGGAATGGTGAATCTTTTTGACATTGGGACACCATGGCGGCCTATCTCTTTTAGACGCGTGATTAAAGCTATTGCAAGGCTTACAAACAAGGAAGCTAATGTTGAAGAAGTAGCTAATTTTAATCGGCCACCCTGGGAGGTACCTTATGAACCTCCAACAAAGCTCTTGCTCCTTGAATCATATACGCCATTTGAGACTGGTATGAGCTCATTCATAGAGTGGTTCCAGAAGAATGAAGGATAAACAATAAATCATTTATACTAAACTACACTAAAAATAAATAAATTTTTAGTTAATGAGTTGGACAATTGATGATCTCCAGCCGTACTACTTGTTCTAGAGCAAGAGCAACCTGTGACCAGAGTGGAATCAGGCACGTCACCACCATCTTACATCATTTAAGGTCAATGGTTCATTAAGTTTAAGGTCAAGCTTTGAGGCAGTTAGTCCACAATGGCAGCTAGTAGTTATGACTGCACATGGCTAAGGTTGGGCATCCACTCATTGTGCCAAGGCATTGGAGATTCTCTAACTCTCTAGTGTTGAATGGACTTTGGGGATCTAGGTATTGGTTTGTGTCTCCTTGTGGTAATCCTATCTCCCATTCTCCATTCTGATTCTTGCACCTTGCCTTTGTCTCCTAGTTCTTGGCAAGGGATCTGGTTTGGACCCATAGAGATATGTCTATTATACAATTGAAGGTACT